GACGGAAAAATGAATTCTCAAGTTTATCAAGACATTTTGCTGGAGAACTTAAGGCCATCTGTCCACCAATTGAAGCTCAACAGAAGATGGGTGATGCAACAGGACAACGACCCAAAGCACAGAAGTAAATCAACAACAGAATGGCTTCAACAGAAGAAAATACGCCTTCTGGAGTGGCCCAGTCAGAGTCCTGACCTCAACCCAATTGAGATGCTGTGGCATGACCTCAAGAGAGCGATTCACACCAGACATCCCAAGAATATTGCTGAACTGAAACAGTTTTGTAAAGAGGAATGGTCCAAAATCCCTCCTGACCGTTGTGCAGGTCTGATATGCAACTATAGGAAACGTTTGGTTGAGGTTATTGCTGCCAAAGGAGGGTCAACCAGTTATTAAATCCAAGGGTTCACATACTTTTTCCACCCTGCACTGTGAATGTTTACATGGTGTGTTCAATAAAAACATAAAAACATATAATTGTTTGTGTGGTTTTAGCTTAAGCAGACTGTGTTTGTCTATTGTTGTGACTTAGATGAAGATCTGAACACATTTTATGACCAATTTATGCAGAAATCCAGGTAGTTCCAAAGGGTTCACATACTTTTTCTTGCAACTGTAGTTCAGCTGGGAATAGTAGTATTACTGCAGTCAAATAGGGTATGGGGGATTACTAGGTCATCGAACTTCGATACAGGCAAATGGACAGAAAGATATCACTGTATGTCCCTTAATACAGTGGAAAATGTTCGCCACTTCTGGTTTGGTATCTTGACATGCCTGCTTCAGGGAAGCACTGGGAAGGTGATATGTTGCAGCGAACCAATATGTCATAGATTGGAAGTCGATTTGATCCAAAGGCTTCTTTATTTTTTGTCTTAACAATTTTTCTTATGAATTTATTGTTCTTTTATCTCCCTTCATTTCTATAATTTTGAACCCAGCCACCTTTTTATATATATATATATATATATACATGTTCTTTGTATCTCCCTTATTATCCTCTCCTTTGTTAGTCCGTTCATTTATATATCTATTTCTCATTTTGACATCCCTTTGTCCTCTGTCCATTTATCCGTCTTTCATTGCCTTTCTTTGAAAAGATGAATTCATATGGGGTTTGATGTAATCCATACCCCCAGCCAGTCTTAAGAGCACCTAGGGTCCATTTTGTGACAATCAATATACGACCCTACAAATATCATTTGGCATGTGTTCTGAGTAGTCCACTCATAGAGAGGTTCCCTCCACCCTCACCCTCACCCTCACCCCCCCACCTTTCTCATTCAATTCCCAGTGGAACCATAGAGGCTAACATGACAATGGTCTTAATGTATATATGGATTTATGGACCCTATGAATGGGGATGGTAGATATGAGGATTGGCGGTGCAACACACGGATCATATGCTATAAATGTTATTTATTTGGATAGCTTTCTGCGTTGTTGACTTTTCCCGCAATTTCACTATTTCTTCAAGCTCCAGCTGAAGCACAGGCAATAGTGTGGTGCGCCTCATCCGTCAGCTGTGGTTAAATGATGATTTTATGCAGTGTGCTGATGGGATGTGGAGAAGGAGACACTATCATATGTTACTTACATGCACACAGAGAACTGCACATCGGACATTTATTGGCCATTTGGGCACATGAACACCAGTGTGCTCACTGAAGGGATATTAAAGAAAGGGTTCATCATACATTAACTTCTCACACATGTGCTCCTTACAGGCCTAATGAACACACACAATTCTACACAAACAACATTCAAGAATGAGTTCTCTGATAACACTATGTAATCAACAGATATGGTCAGGGATACATAAATGTCTCATGGGTAATGACATTGGATGATTAAAAGAAGCAGTAATGAAAACCCTTAGGCTTCATTTACATAATGAATATTTTAGCTTCATGCTTTCCATCTTCGTTAGACTTTTATCCTTTTCTAAATGTCCGCTGCCCACCAGTCATATCACACTATTAATTATGAAGAAAAAAAGATTGTCGACTTACAGTAGTTTCCACAGAGATGGTAATGTCTAATTATGGCACTTTTGACAAAGCACTTCGTTTATGTCTATCCAAATCAAAGGAAGCACAATATTTGTATAAGGCTAAATGTGTGTTAAAATACCACATGAAGTATTTTCGTGTTTCAGGGATATCTCGTAGCAAAATATCACACATAAGTAACTCCACAAATTGTTTACCTTCCATGCCCAGTTCCATTCTCATAGAGCGGACACTGTAAAATGATGGTGAATGTTTTGACCGACCAAGAGCTGCAGCTGGTCACATCTAAGCATGTTCCAAATCTTATAAAATAAGACACAGATGTGGGCAGTTATAGACGTCTACCAATTGGAGGGTTAGAAGCTTTCCAGAATGACTCCTGTAGGCCTTTTTACCGCTTAGAAGTATGCTCTAAGTAAGTAGCGTTGGATAAAAGCACTAGCTAAATGACATGGAATGTAAAAAACCTGCAGCTGCCTCAAAGAACCTCAATGCAAACTATTGTGCTACCATGCTCTAAGTCACATGCTCTATGAGCTGCAGTTTCCATGTTGTTGATAACATGTTATAAGGATCATTTATTACACTAAATGTGGGCATTTACTTTTTCTTTTTTTTTTTAAACGCACTTTGGCTTGGACTAGGGATGCCAAAAACTGACCATGATCAAATTCGAAAATCGGACAGCCCTAGCGAATATTAATCGATTATTCGTCGCCGCCCAAGTTTACAGTAAAACAAACTGGTGGTGTGATCAATTGCCATTTACAATTATTAATACTATTACTATTATTAGCATTAGTCTATATTTTGGTTGAAAGTAAGCCAGGAAAAAAAGGAAAAACATAAATAATAATTAAAAAAAATATATAAAATCGAATTTTAAAAAATCATTTTCGATTATGGAGACTGTAATGAATATTCGAAAAATCAAATAATCGCTGGCATCCCTAGCTTGGACTGATGTCACTGGCACGCTGCACTGACAGAGTGGACATTTATTTTGTCAACCGAGCAACATAAAAACATTCTTCTCTCCTCTCTCTTCCTACATCATCGTGCTTTGACACTCTTAAAAAGAAGCGCACACAAACTCTCTCTGAAGTGTGGCAGGACCGGCTCAGGGTTTGTATCTTGTCATCTGAAAGATTATTATTAGACATGAATTTAGCTGAACTGTGACTCCTTCAAAAATAGCATTAGCAATTTTAAGGCAGTTGTGTGTGTGTGTGTGTGTGTGTGTGTGTGTGTGTGTGTGTGTGTGTGTGTGTGTGTGTGTGTGTGTGTGTGTGTTTATACAGTAAACACACTTGTACAACAGTAGTACACTTACTGTTGAGATTTTCTCAAGCCTTTAATAAAAAATATTTCTGCATTATTCTTTCTCTTTACTTTCCATAATATATCTTGTTCCATTAACAGTCTGACAGGAAGTAGTCACTCAGTGTCATATTGGAATGACAGAGATCCAGGTTAATCTGGTTTTTAACTGAGCACAGCTTGAACAAATATAGCAGATGTAACATGGATTAAAGCAGAATATTTTTTACAATTACGGGTAGTAAATATTGTTGCAAGTCATACATTGAAGTTATTTTTCTGCAACAAAACTGCTGTTTAGTGAGTGGTTATTGGAAAGTCATTACATTCCTCCTGCAGATACCTCCTAAAAGATAATAAACAAAGGAAGGAGAGAAAGGACTGATTTACAGGCTGTAGTGTACCACATCTGCTTTAAACATTTTCGCTAGTTATCCACTGTAAACAGACACACTTTATAAACATACATCTCTGCTTCTGCTTAGAACAACTTTGAACCCAGCTATGGAACTACTTTTGTGAGGCTGTGGTGACATTTGCAAAAGTATAGACGAGCAATGCTGTTATTAATCTCAAATGTGCTTCCTTTTGGTTGATCTGGATGTGTGTCATTTTTAGAGAAAAAACTACTGAAGAGTACACATTATGACTTTGCCATTGATCTTTAATGGTAGGCATCGATAGAAAAAACAAAACACTACATATATCAGATGTGTGCGTTTTCTTGTGTTTTCTACAGACACCCCCCTGTTGGTGAGAAGCAGCAGTGACTCAGCGCTCAGCCCCCAGCCGACAGACTCTGAACCCCCCCTCAGTGAGGACACCACCGGGATGGTAAGACCCCAAGGCCCTCAGACAAAAGACACACAGACACATCCAGTTTGACACCTGTCTTCGTTCCGACAAATAGTGTTTTTGGTTTGGTACATTTTATTTTTCATTATGTGAAATGTATACTGCTCAGTAAACCACCTGTTACAATTTTAAAAAGTTGCCTTTCAGTGCTTTTGCATACACATTTGGTTATCTGGGGTGCCTACCAGCGTAAACACTGATTAGTTAGTTATTTTTTGTTAGTAAGTTAAAGTAATTATTTTGTGGGATGTCCAGGTCAGTATGTCCCACATTGTTTGAGAACAATTTCTTGCAATAACATTCATTCAGTCCACACTTGCCTTTTACTGACAAATCTAAGAAAGGTTTTGTGTTTTTTGACATTAAATTAGGTAGAAACTTTAGTTAAGACCAACATTTTTATGACTTTTGTCAATTATGCTCATGCAAAACAGATAAGCTTTTGTGTCATCTGGGTGATATTTATTTTGTACTACTTTTGTCCCACTGTTAACATAATCTCAGTTAACAATGACAATGACATTTTGCGAGTCCCTCATAAAAAGGATTTTAAACGATTGTTGTGACCCAGAGATGGAGCACTCGAGTCCTGGACTCGGACTCGAGTGCCAATTTTCGGGACTCGTGACTCGACTCGGACTCGCGCACTGTTTGACTCGACTCGGACTTGGACTCGTGAATTCTCGCGCACGATGACTTGGACTCGGACTCGTGAATTCTCGCGTATGATGACTTGGACTCGGACTAGTGAATTTTTCCCCCCACGATGACTCGGACTCGACTTGTACATTGACGCTCCGACTTGGACTCGGACTCGACGAGTCCGAGTCCAAGTCGGAGCGTCAATGTACAAGTCGAGTCCGAGTCATCGTGGGGGGAAAAATTCACTAGTCCGAGTCCAAGTCATCATACGCGAGNCAACACAACAAACACGGCCGAGTTCAAGTAGTGTTCTCCTCATGAGCTGAGCCGCTGTAGCATCACGGAGCCAATGGAGCTAACGGAGCTAGCAGTGAGACAGAGGAGCTAGGAGAAGCAGTCCCGTTGTCATGAAGGGGGAATCTAACTATATACAGAATATGTTTTTGTGGATCCAGGCTAGAAACATGTTAATTTTCTGATTTTAAGTTGGACATTTTAACATAGGGTCTGCGGGAATTGCTCCCATCTACATCCATCGCCTACAGTTTGCAGCATTGGGCTTCACCGCACTGTCCCGGGGTTTGTCGCTTGGCTCTGATAGGCCAGAAATTGGTTTGATTGCATTCGGGCTCGATTGCTTATCCTGTCTGAGTAGCCCGGATGATGCTGCATCGCAATTTTTGACGTCGAATTTTATACACCAAATTTTTTGACATCGAATTTTAAACACCGAAATATTTGACGTCGAATTTTTTTCACTTGAATTTTTGGGATCTGAATTTGAATATTCTAATTTTTTTAACTTGAATTTTTACATTTTTATTTCACATAGGTAAATTCGGAGCAAAAAAAATTCAGATACATGATTTTCAAAGTAATTATTTTCAAAGCTACAAATTCGGTGTCTGATAAAATTCAAATACTTCTGTCTCTTGTTTGCTTCCATAATTTAGCCCCAGAAAGCACATGGCTACTTAGCATGCAAAATGATGTCATTCTGCATGCTAAGTAGCCATGTGCTTTCGTGTTATCGGCTGAATCTTTATTTATTGATTAGATCACGTTACTCTGATGAAAGTGTTCAAGACAGCCTATATGCCTGAACTCGATCCTTAGAGTAATGTGTTACGGAGCCTTCTCTTCAATATGGTTTCCGCATAACGAGCATTTTGCGCTGCTCTTTTCCAATGTGGAAGCAGAATGTGTGAAAGCATACAGCACGATGCGGGGTGTGTCTCTAGACATCTCTAGACTGGAATAGCGGGGCCCAGTACGTGAACTCGCCTCACAGGTGCACAGGCCAGGATAGAGGACATCAG